CTAATAGTTTTTCATTATTAAATAAGAAACCTGAGCAGGTGAAGTGCATCTTTGTTTCATAATTTAGAGAGTTTACGCGACACCACATAACTAAAAATAGTTTAAAATCCATGATTGCCAGCTCTCTTTTTCTTCATTTGAACACTTCCTTGGTGGTTTTACTAACGTGCTTTAGCTCATTATCCAATTTAAAGATCTACCTCTGTTTCAGCTTCAGCTTCCAGATGAAATGACCTCACATAATCTCCATGCCCTTGTGAATAAGATACAGAATTCATAGTTTAATCAGAGCCTTGTATCCTCGAAATTCACCCAGTGCAGTTCAGTTGTTCTCTGGCTCCAACAGGGCTGCTGGATCTGTTCACACCTGCCTAAGACAATGCTTGCATATCCATGAGATGTACCATGGCATTCTAGACTATCAAAAGATCAGCTCAGTTGGTGAGGAGGCAACCACATACCACATGGTCGAAGTGCAGCGGCCCGGGTTCTCTTTTTCCCTACTTTCCCATTTATTTTCATTGCTCCACTGTATAGCAAAAATGCCTAAAAAAAAATCTTAAAAAATAAAAATGAATTGTTTATCATTGAGCTCATGTCAAGCAGTGCAGACCAGATGAGAAGGGCAAGAAAGGATTTAAAGACCCCATTCAGTTAAAATGCTATCTGAAATGCTCCTGGCATGTTTCAGGAATTAGTCAACCAGTCAGTACACAGTTCTCCATAGTCAATAAAGGATTTCCATATTTTATAGAAGAAATTGATTTCATTCTTTTACACTCAAGTTATCTTTTCAAGAGTTTTGCGATAACTTCCAAAATCCATAATCCATTTGGCAATGAAGAGCAGAGTTCTATGTCATTATAATACATTTTTTGGCAAATGCCAGTGTAAGGTTAGAGGGTGCACAAGAGGCATATCACAGAATCTGCTGGAAAGGCAGCCCTATGAATTTCAGATAACACATCACAGGTCCCTGCCAAAAACCTTGTACTACCCTGCCAAGTGGAATAAAGGAATGTGCCCGCTACAAGACCACATCTAAAATGTAGGGAAGAGTGTTAAACCTGCACTGGACTGGCATTTTTGGTACATACAGCCTCTCTCTCTCTCTCTCTCTCTCTCTCTTATTATATATATATATATATATATATATATATTAGGGGTGCAACGATACACAAAATTCACGGTTCGGTTCGGTTCGGTTCGATACTTTGGTGTCACGGTTCGATATTTTTTCGATACAAAAAAATGTTCATGCATTTTTAATTTGTCATTTATTAAAATTATAAATATATATTTTAACTCAAAAGTACAGTTTTTAAATTTAACCCTAACCCTTGTGCGTGTTTTTTATTTTGACAGCGAATGCGCACCTGCGGACCACTTATGTGCAGCCCTGGTTATTTAGCTCGTCATATCACAGCCACAGAAATTCTTTTGTCCATGAAACCATAAAGATGCACTTTCTTTTTGCCTTATAGTCTGATTTGTCATAACTTTCCGTTTTGTGGTAAGCTTTTCTTTGGCTGTCACTTCTTCACCCTGACCTGTCTTATTTGGCTCAGCAGAACTGAAATGCTTTTACACGCTCACTCACATAAGCTCAGCGATTCTCTGCGCGATCAACCTCTCACATGTTTAAGCTGCGGGAGATTTCACTTGTCATGTTTGCATAGTAAGCTAACGATTAATAAGACGATGTCAGAGGAATTGGTGCACAAATTATCATCACTCACAGATCAGTGCTGTCGCTCTCTATACACAGTTCGCACGATTGCAAAGTGAAAGCAAAAAAACAAGCGCAAATTCAAACGCGACTTCAATATGTCACATATTGACAGTGGCTCACCGATGCCAATGACATAATTACCCAGCTACATTTCTGAAAGAATGCAAAAGCATTGACATATATTTTTCCTACAATAGCCCGACGGGCAGGGAAGAGAAAGATTTTGGTAGCCCGACTGAAAAAAATCGCTAGCTCCAGGACGTCGGGCTAGCGATATTGCAAGCCCTGTATCTGATTGAGGAATCACTCATCTTTGGAAAAGAGAGTTTATTACAGAGAAATGTCTCTTTCCAAAATAAAAGCTATACTATCCGCTTCTTCTGGGCTATATTCTCAGCAGCATAAGGAGAATCATGTGCTAACAGCTGTCTAAATGACTCGGCTAAAGTTAGTAGCATGCTTGCTTTTTTTGTCTGCTTCCACTTGTCTTTGCACTACGATGATGTCGGCGTAAATGTGCAGTCATATTCGTTGTGTTCCCACTAGTGCTTTCAGGTTAATCTCGTTGAAATGACCTTAACGCCACAACACGGCAAATCTCCGTTAACGAGCTACCGCCGGTCGCTCCGTGCATGGGGCTAGACGGCCAACACGTTAACGAGCTAACTGCGCTAACACACTAGTTCACACCAATGTAATTGAGCATTGCATGGCACATCCAACATACTGTTTTACTTTAGTCCATGACTCGCTTACCTTCAGGGTCATACCTCACATGAAAACCAAAATAATTCCAAACGCCAGATCTGAATGAGGTTCAATTTGCCTGTTGCAAGTAGAGCTTAACTTCTGTCTCGCTAGCTTGCCCTGCGCTCTTCCTTCTGACGATGCTGTCTGTGTTGAGCGCTCAGTGGATCTGCGCTCGACAGTGCAGCCTAGGCGGAGTAGTCGAACACAGATTCACTGAGCGCTCAACACAGACAGCATCGTCAGAAGGAAAATTGATAAAATAAATTACAAATCTTGTATTGTTCGATACATATGCGTACAGAACCGAAAGCACTGTATCGAACGGTTCAATATCGATACGAATATCGTTGCACCCCTAATATATATATTATATATATATATATTAGGCGAGTGGCTCCAGCAGATCCCGGGAATAACATCGGAGATCTCTGTCCAGAAGAGCGCAGTCCTGGGAACAGCTAAGATACTGCGCAGGACCCTCAAGCTCCCAGGCCTCTGGTAGAGGTATATATATAGATATATATATATATAGGTATATATATATATATCTATATATGTATAGGTATATAGATATAGATATATAGATATATTATGTATATATTTAATTTTGTTTGACTATAGATATTAAAGCAGGTTTTTATAGTTCTTAGTTGCACTGCATCATGTGACAATAATTAAAAGCTGCATTTTAGCTGTTATCAGCAGCAGTGGTTAAGGCAGCCATTCATTTTACCTTAATCCTTGAATCTCTCTCCTCCTACTCATGTCCCTCCAACTATTTTCTTACCACGTTCATTTCAGTGGTTGCCCGTATGCCAGATTACCAGTCCAGCCCCGTGTTAAACTAATGTAGCTCGGAGGGGGTAGGATAGACCTGGGGCCCGTTCTTCGTACGTCGCTTACTACATCCAAGATCAAATGACACATCCAAGATCAAATCATCGCGCTAACCGTGAGCTCGCTAATCCGGTTCCCCGAACACACCTGCTGTTGACGATTACTACAGCTGGATGAAGTAATGCGCGATCACTGGGTGCTGTAAAAGGGGCTACGCATCGATAGCAGAAACAGTGATCGGCAAGCCTCTGATTGGTCGGCGAAAATGTCGAAGGAGCGCGCACAGTACTTCACCGCAGCGGAGCAAGAACTCCTGATTGAGGGATTTCAGGAGTACCAGAGTGAAATTAAAACGCAAGGTAACAGTGCGAAGGCTGCAAAAGCAAGGAGAGAGGGCTGGCAGAAAGTTGCTGACAAATTAAACGCGTAAGTAATGCAACATATTACATGGCACCATACCATATCATATTTTATCATATCAAATCATACCACATGATATCCTCTTACACATTAGAGCCACAACCGGACCCACCAGAACATGGGAACAAGTAAGAGTGAAATACAAGAACATACTACAGAATGGTAATATCCAACACTCATATTGCTGTCAGTCACTTGAAAAGACACCCCTGAAACAATCCCTGTGTTTGTGTATAACAGCAACCAAGAAAAGGGCAGAGCAACAAAAGACAGGTGGTGGTCCTGCACCCCCTCGTCACACCCCAGCAGAGGAGCTGGCCCTAAGGTTGAATGCCACCAGACCCATTGTTGAGGGCATCCCTGGGGGCAGCTCTTCCGGAGACCAGAAGCCGGGGTGCAGTAGCAGCAGCACCTACATAACTGGTGAATGGGCTCATGATTCCATGTGCACAATGTCAAATATGTGGTTGTTGCCTAAATGAAAATGCTATTCGAACTGTGACATTCATTCATTGGCACTGTGGGTTTTCTCTGTGTGTAGTGTTACATGACACACCATCACTTTTACCTGTTCCCATGGAAGGGGTGACTGGAACATGCACAGTAAGTTGGGAGATATACATATATCTGTCCCCACCCAATTGTACAGACCTATAGGCTGTACCACACCCCTTAGTAACACCATTGTGTTACCATTGCACAGGACAGTGACGCAACCCTGTCAGATGGCTGTGGTGTGGCGGAAGACCCTGTGAGTACATGCATGAATTGGCCTGAAATACCATCTACTTGTGTACTGCCATGTGTGTCTGACTGCAGTATGATTTGCAGGCCAAGAGGCCGGCAGAGAGGCCTGCTGATGCAGAGGTGGGCAGTGTTGTGATCAATTATACTGCCTATATGACATGTATTCCCCGTTAAATGTTGTCACCACAATTGACACAGGGTGACATACGTCTGCTCTACAAGAGAAGTCTCCAGCAAAAAATGGAGTATACTGAGCTGAAGAAACAAAAGCTCCTAGGTGAGATCGAACTACAAGCCCTAATGAGGCATAAACTACAATTGGAAATCGAGGTGCTTCAAAAGGAACTCCAGAGTAAGTAGGAATACATGTTCATACGGAGCACTATTGCTGACCCTGCGTGACGCAGTATACATGCTCTGTTTTCCCAGGCAACTGATGACTGGCCTGTGTGTGGTGGGACAGACAATGATGCTCAAATAAACGTCAATAGAAAATGTGTCATGTCATGTTTTTATTATGCGAAATTGTGTTGCACAATCCTGTCCCGTGCAGCTCTGCCACTAGGTTGGTCCAGGTGCACTGGCTGGAGGTCATCATCAGGCTGCACCTCCACCACGGGGGTCCTCTCTCTTCTGATGGTGGCAATGTTGTGCAGTACGGCACATGCAACAATAATGTCACATGCCCTGTCAGGTGCAACCCTCAGGCGTTTTAGACACTGGAATCGTTCCTTCAGTTGCCCAAAGGTCATTTCAATGCGTGCCCTTGTCCTGGCTAGGGCTGCATTGTAGCGGGTTTGTGGCCCAGGGTTGGGGTCAGGGAACGGTGTCATGAAGTACTGCCTGCATGCATAACCTCTATCTCCGAGGAGGATCCCATCGTAGGCCCCTGTGTAATGAAGAAATGCTGTTATGTTAGGCCCGACATGAGTATGTAGCATCAACATAAGCCTCTTTTACTTACCACGCTCAAATGATGTGCATAACCCTGACTCTCTGAAGATCCGTGAGTCATGCACTGATCCGGGCCATTTTGCTTCCACATTTGTGATATGGCACATCGAGTCACACACCATCTGTGGGATTCCATTATGTGTGACCACACTCCTCCCATCGTATATTGCCATCTGGAGTGTTAGTATTGCTCACCTGCACATTTATACTGTGGCCCCCCTTTCGGTTGACAAAGTCCCCTTCAGTGGGGCCTGGGGGGGCCTTGATCGCAATGTGTGTGCAGTCTATGGTGCCAATCACATTCGGGAAGCCTGCGGACGTTGGAGCTACAGTTACCGACATAGGTCATGATTGCATCACATTCACTATCCAATTTACTGTACCTGCAATGGCGAAAAAGCCCTGTTTGACGACCTGTGGTCTTAAGTGGCTTGGAAAAACCACAAACACACCCAGGAAATGCTTGAGTGCCAGGTACACTTTGCGAATGGCCCGGCAGACGGCACTTTTCCCAACGTTCTCTGCGTCTCCACAAGTGTACAGGAACGTGCCACTCGCAAAGTAGCGCAAGGCAATGCACACAGTTTGTGCAGTTGTTAATGCCCGACTACGGTGGGTGGTACTCTTAACATGGGGATCCAGCAAGTTGGTTAGGTAGATGATACCCTCACGGGAAAATCGGTATCTCTCTATGAGCACACTGTCGCGCTGTGCTAAAGGATCCTGTCTATCCCGCAATATACGTTGGATTCTGAACACTCTCCTTATCACTCTTGCACCTTCCGCAATGGGTGGCTCGCGTAGAAACGGACAGGACATGGCTGCGACAAACTTCCCACTTCCACCTTCGCTTTTATAGCCGTGGTCTGTCATCTTGATTACACGACGTAATTTGCTATTCCTCTACTGTGGAATGTGTGTTGCATCTGGCGTGATCACCTACATGCCATAGCGTGATTACTCGTACATTTCCCTTTTTTAGGGACTGACCTGTATGTATCTGTGTGGAATCAATAAAAGGATCAAGTGCTGCATTATCTTTAGTTACATTGATGTTATTTATTTGTGGTGAAACGGTGGCGGAATGTCGCTGTTGCTTTCGTATGATGACGCGGACATACCTGCGTGGCCGCGATCTAATCCTGTTTACATAAAGTAAACCTGCTCCCCAGCAGGTTTACGCTTACGGCTCTGTTGCTATGACAGCAAGTCCCGGATGAGCTTCGGGGAACCGACTGATCCAGGATCACGCGAAATCGTCAACAATCTAATCCGGCTAACCTACTTAGCGAGGTACGAAGAACGGGCCCCTGATGTCAAAAATGGACTTAAATGAACTTACATCTCAAATTAAAAGTGTACACCTAAAATAGGTGGCACAAAGCTTTCTTTGCATCTAAATCGCCTGCTTACATCAGGGCTTTTCCGGTTTACAGACACAAAAAGGTCTCAGATGGAGTGGGAGGTTTGGGGTTTTTTGTTGTTGTTTTATTCAAAGGCCTCTGAGAGAGCTCCTTAAATCTTGGCCTGATGTTTATGTTGAAAAAGAGTAAAAGGCCCTAGATGTCAAAAGTTTAGATAAAACCATTTCTCCTTGTCAAGTTCTGAAGAGCCCTTTAATATAGTCTTATAGATTAAAATAATACATGTAACCCCTGGGCTTTACTTTTTAAATTAAATGTGACTTTAGTTATATTTTATGTTTTGGTTTTTTTTTTGATTGAGGCATTGTTTCATAGAGGATCAAATATAAATGTCAAAGAAAACCACTTTAATTTGCACGTCATTCTAAAAACGATGAAAAAAATTGTGTAAAACTTCAAATTGGCCTATTTATTCTTCATTCACTTTGTTTCAAGTGGCATATTTATTACCGTCCATTGCCTTCTCCGAAGGGAATAATAATTTTCCAATAATAATAATAATAATAATAATAATACTTATTAGAAATTGTATTTCTGTGTTACAAAGGTGGCGGATGCACTCTGCAATAGAGCAGGACTGCATGAAAGAAGCTATTTTAATTCTATTAGTAACCTGTAGCCTTAATAACTCTCAGCCATGCTGGTGAAAAATATTAGCATAAGCTTTACACTTTAAAACTACCTCTCTTCTAATGTATGATTGTTCCCAGTCCCTTAATAACTACACCCTCTGAGTTTAATTAACTTTTAAGCTATTTTTTATTATTTTGTCATACAGCAACAACAGACCAGTAAAGATTCTGTACACTTAATGATGCGTTTATTCATGTTTCTGTTTTTATTTGTTCCTTTCTATAATTGTTTCATGATATCATTAATACAAGGAGTTTGAACTGAATGTTGTATCCTCTTGAGTTTTATTGTAATTTATTTGTGCATGTATTGCACAAACTGAGGAAAAGAAACCAACTAAATGATAAAATCTCCAGTCTAAATGTGTTAGTATTTTTCTGTTTATTGTACATTCTCTTTCCCTTCATCTCTCAACCGGCCGCGGTGGATTGCTGCACCTACCTCAGCCTGGTTCTGCTGAAGGTTTCTTCCTGTTAAAAGGTCTCTTGAGTTTTTCCTTCATAGTGGGGGTTTAATTTGATTTGATTGTTGAGGTTTTGGCTCCAGAATACTATAAGGTCTTAACTTACAGTATAAAGCACGTTGAGATGACTATTGTTTATACCTTGTTTTGCATCCAAGTTTTCATTAACAGAGTGGTTAGAGTTAAAGATTGGAACAGTGTAAATATCCATCCTTTCTTATTGTGTAATTTTGTGAATACCTAAGTGGATAATTTGCAACTGCAGCTTCAGATATCTTGACCAGGTCGATACATTTTTTTTTTTACTTTCGGAATATATCAATAACAATGTTCTCACGTTATATTCATAGAAAACAAAATCTGGTCACAATTGTATATCCTTGCTGAAATGAAATTGTTTATAAATGTATTTTCAAGAATTTGTAAGGATTGTCACATCCAATACGGTGTTAATAAAGAGAGATTTGGTTTCCACAAAAGTGAAAATGGTGCTGAGTCATCAGATGTTATGCCACTTTATTGCTGGTGGACAAAACGCATTTGTTGGAGTTATCAATACTTCAACATTCAAAGGCAGAAAAAAACAGTCTGGGAGTTTCTGCACATGTGATAGTTCACCTCCTGTTCACCTCTGAAGCTGCAAATCTGAAAGATGTCATTGTGATTATCAGTGAAGTGAAACGATTGTAGCAAACTCAATACAGCACAGCAAACATAGAAATAGTACAAAGTTTGCTGTGTACCTTTTGCCAGCAGACGACCCAAGCCCATCTCTGGAAATTGCCAGAACTTGTTGGTTGACAAACAGAAGAGTGGCTCTAGTTCAGCCTCCACACAGAGATACATGGATCCAAGTGCTTTGCTAGCTCCACTCTTGACATCAAGTCACAAAGGTGGAAAAAGATCCAATCTGATAGAGTAAAAAATTCCATAGCTGCAAGGTTGTGATCCACAGCACAGCTTGCGATGCACAGATGATGCAGAGATGTGGGACGTTTATATCTTCTTCTCCCCTCTGTCTAATATTTGCACGTAATCACTCTCCCTGCTGAGCTAGAGCACATTCTACAGTACAGTACATGAAAAATGAGGAGGTAAAATCATCATGACAGCTTGCAGCTCACTCGTGTGCATGGAGACACTGTACAACCAGGCAAGCATGAACACTCATATATTCATCTTTTCTCGGTATGGCTCACATCATCTTCTTTTTTTGTAGACCAATACACGCATCCCTCCAATCAGGTCTTCCTGCAAACTTAAACCTGAGGGGATGGGGATAACAAAACACAGGACATGATTTTCCTTTTCAACTGGGTGCTGAAGCTCATTTGAATTCTGTTATGCATGCATGTAACATAATGACTCAGTGGGATTAAGCTGAGAACTACTGTTTCAACCTCCCACATCTTGACCCCTTCAGTATTAAATCCAGTTGTTGAAAGAGGTCAGCTCTCGGATTGTGCATGAAGGGGTGGGCTGGCGTTCTTGTGTCTATCTTGGTTCATGACTGCCTTGATTAATTGCAGGAGAACATAAGTCTTGTTGAAACAGAGCTTGTGTAATTAACTATCCACTCAGGCTCTGCCTTGAAATTAATAACTGTGATGTTTAATCAAGATTTACATCAAACAACGAGAATGCAGTATGAATATTTTTTCTCGTACTGTGCCCTATCACTTTGGCGATAGGCTTCGCTCTCTATTATTTTTCACCATATTCCCAGTAGTGATATTACACAAAATTATGGAAATAAGCCCAACTTGATCAGTTATATATGGTATCAGTACCTGCCTCTGAGGTACCGGTTCTTTAATTAATAGAACAGTAATTAACAGTTAAAAGTCGGGATCCTGAGAGAAAGTGAACTTGAAAGGCAAATCTAAACTAATGAGGTTCAACTTTGAAGTAATGAACTCTCTGAGTTTAGGGTAATCATAGGCTTCTGGGCTTTACTCAATTTATCTGGAAGACAGTGAGCAACATGAGGACGCACAGTTTTGTTGTATTCGTGACTTTTTTTTCTTAAAGTGGCAAGCTCAGTCTTGAAGTTATTGAGACATTATAGCGTGCAATATATCTGAGAGAACTGGCTTTAGAAGAAGGGTTTAAGTTTGTTTTGTTTTTTAAGAAAGAGATCATTTATACTATTTCTTTTGTTTTTCACAAAGCTGCTGCACACTTCAGTGAAAATGTTTATTCTTAAAATTTAGTTGCAGGCTTGTTTTGGCTAGTTACTACAGCTGTAGCCTAGCAAGATATAATACTCAGCTCCTGGAAAAATATCTGATACCATAATGATGTACACATCTGAAAGGGACAAGAATTGAAGTAACAGACTGAAGATCATATATATTTTTACCGATTTCTCACCTTTTTATATCATCATCTACAGTATAAAATATATGTAAATAAGTATAATTGGGTTGCCGCCATGCTACCAGGTTTTTACAACATAGAATATAACCAGTGATCTTAAAATGGTTTTTAGTCACAATATTATTAGTGGGGTTTTTTGTATTTGTTGGTTTGTAAGCAAAGCGCAACATAATCCACCATCCAAGTTCCTCATTCTCTGTGGCCTAAGTCACAGCCATTTGTCCAATACTGCTGTTGGAAAATAGTAATTTTTGGGAGTAATGATGTTTGCAAGGCAGTCAAAAACCAATCTCTAGGCTTCTGTGACTGAGACTTGACAGGGATATTGCATGAAAGTGCTGAGCAGACCAATGGCTGATGTTTATCTATAAGTGGTTATAATATGCAACTAAAACCATCCAGCTGTGTGTAGATTCAAGAAAGAACATTTTGCATTTTAATTAGCGAGTGTCAGTCTTTATAATAAGATAAGATAAGATAGTTGTTTTCTGGCTTCATAACATCATAAATCAACAAGATGATAAACTTTTACCTTGAGAATCAGTCAGTTTCATCAGAGCTTTTTAACTAAGTAACCCTTTCCAGTAAATATACAGTATTCTGTTTGGTTTCACACTTGGTGAAAAATAATGCATTTTAAAATTCAAATCAATATTATTGACACTTCATGTGGGATGAGCTGCAGTATCACTTTTACCAACTAGGTTAGATTGCAAAACAAAAGACAATCCATAAAAAAATGGAATTGAGAAACTAATTATATGAGCTGGCAGCCAAGAGGTCAGCAAGGATCCATCAGCACTACACTTTTTCTTTTTAATACAATACATATTTTTTCTTCTTTTTGTTTTGCTAACATAACAACAGATGCAAATACAAGGGGTTGCTGCATGTGATACAAGTGTGTCTCTGGATGACACACACGTCCACACATTCAAACTTGGCACTCCCTCCAGCAGCCTGTCCACCTGACTTTTTCAGTGACAAGAAAAAAAGAAAGAGAAAGTGAGGCAGCAGGGGTTTTCTATAGCTCTGCTGTCATTAAT